TTGGGGTGCCTTCAAACTAGGGATGTCCCCATCCAGCTTTTTTACCTTCCCTTCCGATCCCGGCCTATCAGAGCCTGGACTAAAGTTTAAAGTTATTTATCTACTTACTTAGTTGTCAGACTCATGTTGAACAGGGATTTACTCTGATAACAACTTAATGGTTAGGACACAGACCTGTGGGTTAAAGATGCTAATGCTAATGCTAATGCTGGTGTGGGATCAGACTTTAAATAAAAATGGATCTGGAGTCTGGATCTGCGTTTTCTCCTGCCGGCCTAGACCAGAAGCTGGTTATTCATCCGGACAGCCTCTTGTATGAATTAGCAACCTCAGTTTTTTTTTGTTTCCATGTTTTCTTCGTTTTGATGTGAGATGATGTGACACCGCCATCTCCTGGTCAGAGCGTATAACTGTCCCATAGGGCTCTGATTTTTTACTCCTTTTTAAGGATATTACACATCTCATTCTGTGGGGTTTTTGACCTAAATGAGGAATGTTTTGGGCACATTGTTAAAGGTCCTGCACAATGTTAATCTGTAGAAGAGCTGAATCTACCCTTTCAGTTTTACAAAGTGGTCCCAGCTTATGGGTAAGCTCATCTTTTTAGGCAGAGTGGAAATCATATTTCTGCCAAGCAGCCATTCTCAGTTTGCCTTTTTTTTTTAGAGAAGAAGCTTTTGATTTAGAACAAAGAAAATCTTTTGGATAAGAGACGAGTCTTTGTTTGGATGACAGAGGATTGACAGTTTATATCTCGAGTGTCTTCCCTTCCTGTTTTAGACTTCATATGAAGTGAAACTGGCCGTTATTTAGCCTTTACACTCCCCAGAACTGATGTGAGGTCCTGCTCTGTGCAGTAAACAGCCTGCGAGACCAGCTGGACGACATGAAGAGGAGAAACCAGAACTCACACATTTCCAATGAGAAGAACATTCACCTGCAGAAACAGGTCTGTTTACCCTCATGTTACATTTATACTTCTGCTTCTCTTATCCACTTTTCTTCAGTTTAACCTGAACAAAAATAAAAGTTAACCTGAATAAAAATAAAAGTTAACTGAAACCAGTCGAATTAACACACTATTAGAGATATTTTCAACTTAAAGAAGCTACTTGGATTGAAGTTTGACTGAGTTTAGTTTGGACATAAATGAATGGACATAAATGAATTAGGGTTGTCAAAAGTATCGATACTCGAAAAAGTATGGATACTAAAATGTTGTATCCGGATACGATACTCATTTTCAAAAGTATCGATACCACCGCGCCCCTTCTCTCTGATTTATTTATGTATTTATTTACGTTGTTTATGATCATTAACAAGACGTTAGCCTTGCTAGCTGCGGCTAATGGCTAATAATAACATGCTACCATTAATCAAGTACATATCCAACTCCACCCACATCCAAATCGGACGTTTTGATTACGTCACCAATAGGAAGATCCCTGGCAAGAAGATAGTAATGCCTCATGGCAATATAGACATTAATTTAAAAATAGTGAAAGTAATCTAGCAAACATTGAATTAAACTCTATCCATAATATTATGTTAAAATAGTGGCTGTTAAATAGGTTTGTACAATAAGTCCAAACAAGTTTAACCAAAAAATATTTATTTATGACTATTATGAAAGATTAGGGTTAGGGTCATTAATGTGGGCCACCAGTCACGATAAGATCAGTAACAGGTCAGTTTGAAATGAAAGACACAATTCAGTTAAATTTTAGGGTCTTTGTTTTTATCCTTGTGGTATCGAAAATGGTATCGAGTATTTTCCCGAGTATCGGTATCGAGTTGAAAATTTTAAAATGAACGGGCCGGGTCTCAGGAGGTTAAAGCTCTTTGCTGCTTTTCCAGCTGGAGGAGGCCAACTTAGACTAGTTATTTCTATTTAATTTCTGTATTTTATATATATTTTTCTGTTCCAGCTGGAGGAGGCCAACTTAGACTAGTTATTTTTATTTAATTTCTGTATTTTATATATATTTTTCTGTTCCAGCTGGAGGAGGCCAACTTAGACTAGTTATTTCTATTTAATTTCTGT